GGCTCATGCACTGGCTCCTTCATAGGTGCTGGATGCTCCTTCATGGAGCTAACGTAAGCCGCAGGGGAGAGAATGCGTACGAATATGGGGTTTTTCGGTTGAGGCCAAGGGAAGGGCACACACTTTGGGGTCGAGGTTTGTTCGGCCACCGACTTCCTCGCTTTTTTCACTCTCTTCCTAAACCATCCACAGCTTCCGACTTCGATGGGGTGGACATGAAAAGACGGTCCGTGCGAATGCTTAATGAATCTTCCATGTGGAGAGACAAGGACGACGTCAGGTTGTCCCTCATCGCCCTGCCATGAACCTTCACAATCGAGCTCTGTGTTCACCAAATGGATTAAAGCAAGATACATGGAGCTCATCTTTCTAAAATATAGTTTTGAGTTTTGAGTTTTAAGAGAGTGAGTCGGTGATGGTCATTTTCCCCGAGCATCACGTTCCAAGTGCTCTCTAAACTACCGAATACTGTCCACGGAACTCCTCTTTACTAAGAGAAATTAGATTGATTGTATCTGATGTAATTTGGATCTATAAAGAAAAGTGCATCTGTTCTGTACCGACTCAGATAAGGTAGAGAAAGTATTGGACACAAGAGTTTATGATACCAACTATCTGTCCAACCGAATTCATCAAGCTTCAGTGACTAAGTCAAATAGCACTAGTGAAGGCAATGACAAAACGGTGAGAAAAATTGACGGAGAGCGCAGAATGGAGACAAAGCCACACCAACTATGATTATAGGGCTACAGAACTGAACACTAACGGAGGACCCATCCATCTTCCGATATTCGGAACGGCTCACTCTCCTGAACAACTCAACTTGCAAGTGAAGGCAGACTCGAGCTGTCGCCAATATGTCGGAGTGCACTAAGATCGAGTGAAGGAATTGATTGCTGTTGGATGCGAAGAAACCAAAGGAGTGCAGCTTTTTTCCTATGCACGAAGGTGACCTGTCTCGACACCTCCCATCTGCTGTTGATATGGATGCCCGCAGTCCTCAGAACTCCTCAGTCTCGAGTCGCAGGGGAAGTAGAATTAAACAACTGCCTCTGCTCCAGTCCAGAAAAGGCTGGCACTCCTGTCGAGTTCAAGTAGAATGAACCTCGATCAGTCCGCCAATAAAACATGAGTTTCACAAAGGCCTAATCAACCTTTTAGATACTATTCAAGGAAGCTGAAATGTTGGTTAGCACAAAATTATTTACACCAGCCAAGTACTCCAGACAGAAAGCTGTGCCATTGGTGACCGGTCCCATAGAATCACTGCTCTACTGCAGTGTCCAGTAGCAGAAACTTGTGGTCAATACTACAGTTTCTTTTGGAAGGCTAGTTAGTGGCTGTGATAGTGGCGCAGGGAGACAAGGGACCTGGCCATGAGCACTGATATCAGAGCTACAGATGCTATCTGGCTCAACCACAAACTCAATCCTCATAGGCTGAAATTGGGCACGGGTCGAGCCTGACGGATGCGGCACTAGCGCCAAGCTCCGGCGCCGCAGGAGGTTCTTGTCTGGGACCACCGCCCCGCTTTTAGAGTCCGTGTGTTCACGTGAGAGTGCGCTTTTGGGCAAAATGGCACACAGCTACGGCAGCGGCTGAGGACGTGAAGGCAGCACGGACAGTCGAACACTCCCGAAAGGTGAACGAAACAGCAAAAGGCCGAGATCTGGGCCAACAGAAGGGCCGCAGTCGCCGGACCGTTCAGACCCAACGACCCCACTCCCGAAGGAGACAAATATTATCATGAACTCTTGTTAAAATCTTAATTCATAAATCATATTTCCAATCTCACGGACAAGAAGCTTCTATAGCTCAGTTGGCTAGAGCACCCGTTTAGTAAGCGGGAGGTCCTGAGTTCAACTCTCAGTGGAAGCAGCTCCTCGTGGCCGTGCCGGAGTGGTTATCGGGCATGACTAGAAATCATGTGGGCTTTGCCCGCGCAGGTTCGAATCCTGCCGGCCACGCAGCATTTTTCGTTCTCGATGTATTGTTTACAAGTAATGATAACTCCAAAGTGAAACAAGATTACTATCATTATATTTTTCACTTTTGAGATTATTATTAGTATTGAATTCTCAGGTATCACTCAAGTTTGTAACAAAATTCAGAGTTATCAAAAAAAATCTATAACACATTGTAAACAATATATTTGACAAGGGAGTGTTACATGTTGATAATATGTTAATCAATAAAAATGTTAGTGTATGTTCAAGTAGCGTTTGCTATAATTACTTCAAAACAAAAGTATGTAATCATTGAATACATCATTTAGTCTGAACATCAAACATTGATAGTTTACTTGAAAGACAAAGCTTTTCTGATATGTTTTCAAATTAAACCATTGATTTATTATGAAACCTCCAAGTATATTTCAAACTACAAATTTGATGCAAGCAAAATGATTGAGGACAATTCAATTAATTTATGGCCTTTATGCAAAGATTGTACATCAATAACATCCAGTTGCAAAAGATGAAATAAAAGCACATCATGAAAACATATGTATGAAATGAAGAAGTCAAAGCTTCTTAGAAACCCAATCTTTGAAGATTCATGTATATTTTTTGTTAACTTTAAATCTTGATTTACAATATCATTTATTTACATGTACAAGTTATGATTTGTGAAATTTAATATTTTTATAAACATATCAAGAATTTGATATTCATATCAAACTCTTCAAAGATTTGTAACATGCTATGAATAATAAGAATTATTTTTTTTATTTTTTTTAGATGCATATAATCTTATGGTATTCCTTAATAAATGATTATCATGCATATGATATATGATTTAAAATTATGATTATAAAATATTATTAAAGTGAACTGCTAGTTATATCTCAGTTTAGGTTAATTATCCCTCACATTACTATACGTTACAAAAAAGAAATCTGGACTAAGGGCGATCAACCTGTTTGCTAAATCTATGGAGTTTTTGAAATTCTTCTACAATTTGCAAATAGATTTTAAGACTTTTCTGCTTTTCATCTCATGGTGCATGGAACCGGAGGAAGTCAAGGGTCGAGACAAATTATGTCAATTTGGTGCTAGCCACAACACTGCCAGTTCGAAGAGTATGTCGCGCAAATTCGGGATCCATGGACCAATTTCTCGGACGTAAGGTGCACGACCAATCGATGCTCAATTCACTGTAAGGCATAATCTCTAGCGCTTGCAACACTCTTGTGAATGAGTGATCTCGACGTGGAGCTGCTGTGTGCAACACCAACTAGTAGTGGGTGCTAATGGAAGGGGAGCAATTCATCAGCGCCATTGACGAGCATAGAGGACGAGACACCCGACTTCACATTTGGGGAAAAACAAAGATTTGAACAACATCCCTCGATAAATCCCGGCCACCAGTAGCAGCCTCGAACGCCTCCTAATATTGCATACTGATCTTCAATCATATATTTTGATCAATAAAATTCATTAAAATTTATCTTCCTTCATAAATATCAAAAGCTTATAATTTTTGAAAAGAAATTGTTGTAATTGATTATATATCAAATTACCTATTTTAAAAATCACATGAAATCAAGACTTGATCATAAGTAATTTTTGAAAATTCGATTAAAAATTTTTTAACTTCAAACTCAAACGTTAAATTTTTTTTATTGAACTTTCAATAGTTAATAGCCAAAATTTAAATTTAAATTTAAATTTTCAATGTTGAATCATGTTGAATGAATGAATTTAGAATATGTCACACAATTCATGATCATTATCAATTTTTTATTTCAAGTTTGAAGGTAGCATATTATGTAATATGAAAGATTCCAAAAGATTATCATTTTAATATGACAAATTGTTAATAATAAAAAATAAATTTTATTTAAAATGAATTAATTTCAAATTGATCAAAATATAATAAATGCAGCTTTGATTGATAACAACTTTAAGCATATAATCAACCACAACATTACATCTTGATGATGAAAAATCAATGACATAATATAATAAATTCATGCTAATTTGCATTTAATTGGTAAAAAATTAGAAGAAGTTATGTTTTATTATTTTTTTAAAGAATATACGTAATTTTGAAAATATGAATCTATTAATATATATCATGAATCATAGTTATTTAAATTTTTTGAAAAGGTGCAATATTTTGCAAATTATAAGAATTTGAAAAGGTAGATCAATATGTTAGTTATTGATATAATAAAATCTAGCATTTTTTATTTATCTTAGATTACAATTTAAATAGTATTACATGCTAACATTTCATTGTAGATAGTTTCAAAAAAAGCAATTCATTTTGTAATATATTTTGATAAAATCTTTGTGCAGTCTAATTTTTTTAATTTCTTATTCATGATCCACAAATTATTTATAATATTTGATTGATGATAAACGCGATAATTATTCTTCTCATCCCTTTTCTTATCTACTTGGCCCTCTGGCTTATAGTTCCAATTGATTTTCCTGATTTTTTCCTTCCGTGCTTATGGACTGCCATGTACTGCCAAGAATTCTCCATATCATGCAGAAGAGAAATCACAGGAAATCTGCAGACACATGGAGGCAACTTTAGAAGAAAACAAAAAGAGTAGGATTTAGTATCGGTCGCTTTTACTGTGGAAGCGGGTGTTTTAAATTATGTATTATTTTTTCAGTTTTATGTCACTTCTCATCTCTCGTGTAGTTACAATTATTTTCTTTAACTCCTAATCACGGTCCCAAGAACCGTTATAAGGTTTTGGACAAATCACCTTCGTCTCAAGTAATGCACGTGGGTAGGAGCTCCCCTCTTTGCTTAGAATGAACAAAAAAAATCGAAAGGCATGGCATAACACCCATCCAAAGAAGCGGAAAAGAAAGGGCGTGTGAACACAATGAACTCTACGTTCGTTCCGTGACGCTTTTATTCTCCGTCACCTGACAAAAACGGCTAACTCCCAACGAGAACAGAACTGCCACAGCGGATGTCAATCCATAGACACCACGCGTCACTCTCCATGTCGGACTGAGCAGGCACTCCATGTCGGACTCCAGTTTTGCAACACGTGCACGTGCACCTGTCAAAGTCCCGTGCTTGCCTCTGCGACCTTCCTCCCACTTATAAGCTCGACGTCCCTTTCGTCCGGAGACTCGGATTTCGCCACCTCCTGCTTCCATTCACCTTCGAGTTTTGCGTTGCCATCTTTTCGTCATATCGCCAGTTTTCATTTGTCTCTGCAGATCTGAGTACGGGTCGCAATCCAAGTCGCTGCTCTACTCCTTTGTAAGTGTGTGGGCCTTTCAATCTGGTCAAAACCATGTTTCTCTAAATTTCAGCGTCCGTGAATGTTAATGTGAACTATGGACGTAAGTTAGTGGTAATGACAGCTGAGTAATATTTTTGAAGGGAATGACATCGACTTACTTACTGTCATAGTCAGTCTGTGCCATTCGACAAGCTGAGTGCCTCAGCCCGGCATGAGTTTGTAAGAGTAGACCTGTTTGAGAGCAGTTTTTCTGTGCCTTCACTTTTTTGTTTTGCTTTGACGGCCATAAATCTGGATTACTCATCACTGAAGAATATCCCGAGTCTACCTCTTCTTCCTGACAGCAGCTTGCTATCCCATTTCGCTGGTCACTACAGCAGCGATCATGTCTAGAATCAATGTCATAGTTCTTGTTGGTCAGACTTCTTGGCTTCATTGCAAGAAATTGGTTTGTGAAGAAAGGCCTGGAGTTATTCTGGTGTCTAGTGATTCCAGCCAAGGTACTTTGTGGGTCCATCAGACTCAGATGCAGACCTTGGAATTCTCCCTTTTTCTAGTTCTGAGTGGAAACTAATATACAAAAGTGCACGTAATGGCGCAACTGTATTTGGAGGTGAACAAGCTGTTCAAGGACATGTTAGATCGTATCGGATGCAAGAATGTATTTAACTTTGGTACTGGTTTCCAACCAAGCTTGTGGCTGTACGTACTTTCAGGTTATTACCTTTAGGTCGAAGATCTCGAACTTTTTTTGAAAATGGCCGGCAACCAGTACAAGGACTCATACAACACCGCAGCCGATAAGACAGAGAAGGCGAAAGCTGCCGGACAAGAGAAAGCTGACCAGGCTCAAGACCATGCCTACAATTTGAAGGAGAATGTGAAGGAGAAAGCTGATAACGCTGGCCAGAAAATCTCAGAGTCTGCCCAAGCTGCCAAGGACAAGGCAGGGCATGCATGGGAGCAAACCAAGAGAAGTGCTTCTGAGACTACTGAAGCTGCCAAGGATAAGGCAAACGAAGCTGGTTCCACAGCCCAGAAGAAGGCGGAGGAGGCAGCCGATGCTGCGCAGGCCAAAAAGGACGAGTCCAAGCAAAGCGCCTCTGAGACCAGCCAAGCAGCTAAGGACAAGGCCGTACAATTGGGGGACAAGGCTGCCGAGAAGAAGGACGAGGGTAAAAAGTCTGCCTCAGAAGCTGGGCAGGAGGCAGGAGAGAAGGCTGAAGTGGGTAAGGAGAAATCTGCCACCTTCCTGCAGCAGGTAAAGTCACCTATTTACCTTTCCCTTGCCAATATCTGAGCTGCCACTCCCACTGTCAAAATATCGTTTGGAATAGTCGCTGTCAGAATGCCTAGAATGTTTGTGGATTCTAATTGCATTGCTTTAATTTCGATCCCTAAAACCATGCAATACAGCAGAAAGTAGAGGCTATCTTGAATCGCCGTTTAAGACAGCTTTTCAATAACCTAGGGTCTGTTCAGTTGGTAGTGCTGAAAGTTGATGCTTGCGTTTACACCTCAATCGGAAATTCGGCTTTGAGGGAATTAATATCGGTGGTATGTCTTATTGCTCCAGATTTTTGCCTCGGATGCAAAATCTGACTCTGTCGTGCTCCAAGAAGTATTCAGTGGTTAAGCAAAGAAGTATGTCGTCGATTGAAGTCGACTCCATGTTGGCTCTAGCGTAATCTGAAACCGTGTTTCTGAACATCTAACAATACGGAAGATGATGATGATGTTGTGCTTTACTAAAATAGTCGTCAAAAATACAAATTGAACCTGCGGTACGGTGCTGCTGACTGCGATATTTATAGATGAAAAAGTGTGACTGAAAAAAAGATGTTGTATTGAAAGTCAAGACTGGTTGTTTCTGATGCACAGGCAACTGAGACCGTTAGGGGCGCATTCCAGGGTGTTGCGGACTCTCTCAAGAAGTAAGCCTCATATTGGTGTACAGACAAATTCATAGGTGTAAAAGGAACAGATGAAGTTGTTAAAATTGCCATCACCATATGAAATACGTCGCAGAAGAAGAATGTTTGCAGTCAGTCGGAAGATTAGATTTGACAGTGACCTGTATTGTTCAGGTAGTAGCTAGTTTACATTAGATATATGTACAGTTAAAGCAGCAGCCTGCTGTCGGATTATTTACTACAACGGGTTTTGTTACCATAACACTCTCTACGTCTCCCGTCCAATGTTCAACGTGCTTGTGATTTCGATTGGCAAATGTACTGGAACTGTGCAGCTGTGTCCATTATGGGATTCCGTATTGTTAGCGGCAAATTAGTGGCACATATACATCTTCACAATTCCCAAGTAGCAATGATGATTACTTTTACAAAATGTCCAGAGCTTGTTCACTTGAGTTCTGTACTTTTTTAGATTTGGTAGAAGGGATAGTGCGCAGATCAATGTCGTGACAATTGGTGAAAAGGTACGTTCAAATGCACTGAAAAATGCTGCTGGCAAGAACACAGCTCTAGGACCGTGAACGACAAATTGCAGCTTGCAACTACCACATGAAGATAAAGACGTATATTTTTTCACTTACTGTATGTACCGAAAGGTGAATACTCGCCTATTGCGCAGTCTATATCGAAGTGATGTATCGTGAGCAAAGTTCGATGTATATCACTGCACCATGCAATGTATACTGCGTTTAAGGTCATATGCATAAACTCCTCATGTGAGGCCAAAGTCATATGCACAAACTCCTCATGTGAGGCCAAAGTCATGTTTCTCTATGTCAACCCGTAAGCGTGAAGTTTGCCGAAACGAAAAGCGTACCACTGGCAAATGTGTTTGACTACTAACTTAGTAGACGCTCACACTCTACACGAGGAATACACCATACAAAAATCTGTCGGACTATGCAAACGCAAAATCGACCACAAAAATATTATGTCAACTACCAAGCGAAGTGTGAAATATAGCACTCCTTCATCAAACTTTAACACTAGTCCCAATCTCAACATTACATCGCACAATTCTCTATATTGCAAGTTTGGTGAAAACACATTCTCGTAGACTTTTCTTCAACTAAACAGTACCTAAGTTGTATATTCTCCAAATTTCAACTCATTCACTCTCTTCAGCAACAAGAAAACTAAATCATCAGCCTTGTAGTCACAACTGCGATAAAACCCCTAAACCCCAGTTAACAGGAAAACCCTAACCCTAGCGTAGAGGTGAAGGTTTATACGAAGAATACGAGGAGAAAATCTTCATCACCCTCCAAAACGCCTGAATGTGACGAAGAAACATGAGCGGATATTTTTACTATCATAGCGGAGAACACTCTTTCCACAATAGCACTTGAAGTGTATTCCTCTGACGGCCGAGAATTGCGAACAAGAACACTCGACCCTGTCGTCAGTATCACAGCATCGAAGACTATCGCCCGAATTCCGGCGGGCAGTCCACCTTCCGCAAGGTTTTACAGTTGCCGATCATTCAGGCAGGAGGATTGAATCGGCGGAAATGTGGAGTGCGCAATTTGCTCTCTCACACGGAGAACAGAGCTATTTCATTGGAAAAGGACGTTGGGGGTCGGAGGATTGCATAGAATCATTGTCAGACCACTACGGACAAGCATTTTTGAACGAGAGCTGCAGCTGCGGAGCAGCTTAGGGTTCAGAGAACGAGATTTTGTTCCATTTTCGTTGATCATTGTGTTTAATATTTCGAGAACTGTACCCCCAGAAGAATACCCGTGTAGAGAAGCGTGTTTAAGCGGACGAATTGGCCAATTGTCGAATAGGTGGTAGATTGAAATTAAAGGTCCCATCGGATTCCAATGGAGCCGGCAAGCTCCATCAGAAATATCTGCATTTTAGCCCATGTGGATCATGGGAAGACAACGATGGCAGACCATCTAATTGCAGCCGCGGGTGGAGGATTGGTGCATTCTCGACAGGCGGGCAAATTGAGGTTCTTGGATTACAGGGACGACGAGCAACAACGGGCAATCACCATGAAGAGTGCGTGCATTCGTCTTAGATTCAAAGATCATGTCATCAATCTGATAGATTCGCCGGGACACGTGGATTTCTGCAGTGAGGTTTCTACAGCTGTGAGGCTGAGCGATGGCGCTCTGGTTCTGGTGGATACTTGTGAAGGAGTGCACATTCAAACACATGCTGTACTACGACAAGCTTGGTTGGAGCGCCTCAGGCCCTGCTTAGTTCTCAACAAAATTGATCGACTTATCACCGAGCTGAAATTTACTCCTGCCGAGGCTTACGCTCGCTGTCAGGTTTGTGTTTATGTTTGAATTCCAGAATGCTCAGTAGAAGATCCCTCAACCTCCTGTCTAGTGACTGAAGATTCGTCATTGGGTTCGACGGGCTAATTTGAAAACAGAATGGCCTGTTACTGGTGATATGGGATTGGGATTTCGTGTGGGCTGTTGCCCTGTAGATCTGATTGTCATCGCAACGGTTAATTCAAACTGTTCAAAACCGTGAATCCGTTCAATTTGACGGGAAAAGAGGAAAGGGTTTACACGAAGAGTATGGACGAGTGATAAGTGAGACCTGATATCCGCCTGTATATCTGGCCGTCCCTGACGAGCTACTTCTTCGTAGTTTGCTTCAGATTTGACATTCAGGAGCCTTTCATGGATGATGGTCAATCAGCAACAGATGGGAACCAAAGTCACGATAAGTGAGTGAATTTGAGAGATAGTTCTGGGCAGTTAATTATCAAGCAAAAGTTTGTGCGTTGACCTTGTTGTAATGGTGCAATTTGCAGAGCATAATCATGGAGGTCAATAACATTATAAATGCCTTCCGGTCAGAGAAATATTTGTCGGATGTGGATTCGATTCTCACTAAACCTTCTTCAACGGGCGAGGAAGCTGACGACGAAGAAGAGGAAGACGAAGAAGATGCGTTTGCTCCAGAGCGAGGAAATGTGGCATTCGCCAGTGCAGGTGATGGATGGGCCTTTCGGATAGACCAGTTTGCTGATTTATACGCTGCAAAATTAGGAGCCAGCGCGAAAGTCATGAAGAAGGCTTTGTGGGGCCACCACTACTTTGTACCCAAAACCAAGAAAATCGTGGGCAAGAAGGCTGCAGCTGGAAAATATCAGCCCATGTTCGTTCAGTTTGTGCTGGAGCCCCTCTGGAAGGTGTATGATGTTGCTGTTCAAGGCAAAGATGGGGCCGAGAAGCTAAACAAAATGATCACCTCCATGAATCTGACCATACCAGCACGTGATCTACAGCAGAAGGATCCGAAATTGGTGCTGCAAGCCGTGATGAGCAGATGGCTGCCTCTATCGGAAGCAGTGTTGTCCATGGTCGTAGAGTGCTTGCCGGATCCTGCAAGTGCAATGCCCGAACGAGTTGAGCGTTTGCTACCGACTGAAGAGTTGCTGAATGAAGCCAGCACAAAGATTGAAGGCGAACTGGAATCAGTGAGGAAGGCGGTGGAGGGCTGTGTTCGCAGTGAGGATGCCCCCTGTGTAATCTTTGTGTCGAAAATGGTGGCTGTGCCAATAGAAATGCTGCCCAAACAAAATGCGCAAGGGCAACACATTTCTGATTTGGAGATAAGTACAGGAGATACTGATGCAGGTGGTCGAGAATGCTTTCTTGCTTTCGCCAGGGTGTTCAGTGGAGTGGTTTCTGCTGGACAGAAGATGTATGTTCTCTCTGCCCTTTATGATCCCACAGTGCACGAGCTGGACAGCAAGCACGTGCAGGTAGCAACCATCGAATCCGTCTACCTGATGATGGGCAGGGGGCTAGAACCGCTGTCAGAAGCCAGAGCCGGACACTTGATTGCCATCAGGGGCCTTGGCCAACAAATCTTGAAGACAGCCACACTTTCTAGTACTCCTCATTGTTGGCCTTTCGCAAGCATGAGGTTCCAGGCAGCCCCAATCGTCCGAGTTGCAATCGAACCCTCTGACCCTGCAGACATGGGAGCCCTCGCCAAAGGTTTGAGACTGCTGAATCGTGCCGATCCATTTGTTGAAGTGACTGTGTCAAACAGCGGGGAGCATGTGATCGCAGCTGCAGGGGAAGTTCATCTAGAAAGATGTATCAAGGACCTGAAGGAACGTTTTGCTCGAGTTGACTTGGAAGTATCACCTCCACTAGTGGCCTTTAGAGAAACTATAGAAGAGGAGGAAGTAGGGGCCGTGAACCATAACGGAGTAATACAGACCGTCACACCCAATGGGCGTTGCACCATTCGAGTCCAGGTCTCGAGGTTACCGTCTGCTGTGACTCAAGTCCTGGATGGCAGCTATGACCTACTTAGAAACATCATCGAGGGTAACAAGGTGGCTTCCAGACCTAGCACAACCAGTAGGCAGGCAAGCTCGTACCCGGGAGAAAAGGGTGGAGATGATCCAGTTACAGGTCTGCGAAATCGTCTGCTAGCTGCCGTTGAGATTGATACAGACAGCATTGGGGTTCAGGATGGCAGTAACAAGAAGGAAGAAGCCAAGAAGTGGATGAGCAAACTGAAAAGGATATGGGCATTGGGGCCACGACGTGTGGGCCCAAATCTTCTATTTCTCCCTGATGAGTCTAGCCCTCTCGTTAAAGAAGGTGGCACTTCTGTCAGTTCGATGAACGGGGATGCAGAGGATGTTGCTCTAGTGAAAGGCTATGCACTCGTGTCAGAAAGATTGGGGCTTGTGGAGAAGGAGGCCGACCGAAGCACCTCTGGTGATGATCACTCGTCTTTGTTTAAGGAGGTGGAAAGCTTGGAGAGTAGTGTTATCTCTGGTTTCCAGTTGGCCACAGCTCAAGGCCCACTCTGTGAAGAGCCTATGTGGGGTTTAGCCTTCAGCATAGAGGTGTCAGTCAATACTCGGGAAAGATCAGGTACAGATTCTGCTGAGAATTCCGGCCTGGGGAGCGATTCGGCTGCTGGTACCAGTGTGGAGAACTATGGCGGTGCACTTTCGGGTCAGATCATGAGTGGTGTAAAGGAGGCTTGCCGTGCAGCTGTGCTGGCCAGAAACCCGAGAATCGTTGAGGCACTGTACTTCTGTGAAGTGAGCACTACACCAGATTTTCTAGGCCAAGTATATGCCGTGCTGAACCGAAGGCGAGCACGAGTATTGAAAGAGGAAATGATGGAGGGGTCCGCATTGTTCATCGTTCATGCCTACATGCCAGTTTCAGAAAGTTTTGGGTTTGCTGACGATCTGCGCCGAAAGACATCAGGATTCGCCAGCCCTCAACTAGTGTTGAGCCACTGGGAGTCCATACCTGAAGACCCGTTTTTTGTTCCCAAGACAGAGGAAGAAATTGAGGAATTTGGTGATGGTTCAAGTGTGCTGCAAAATACCGCCAGAAAACTGATTGATTCTGTTCGCAGAAGAAAGGGCCTTCCTGTAGAAGAGAAGATTGTGCAATTTGCAACCAAGCAGAGAACTCGTGCTCGCAAAGTGTAGCGGAGAACAGTTGAATCAGGGCATTATGCTACTCATCGTGGATCTTGCAGATCATTGCTATCTTCTTCTCTGATGATGCTTCTTATCAGTATGAGCTGCCGAGACTTCTTTGCAAGGATCTATCCTATCGCAGGATGCACTTTATCTCGCAAGGTATATATGATCTCGAAGGGCCTTTGAGTGTATGCCATAATTTAGCAGTTAGGTATCTCGGCAGCTTGAATCCTGCTTTCTATTAGAGAAGGTACTTCTGCTGTTTTAAATGTGCACATATACAGCAAGTTGCGATGAAATTTGAATATTAAACGTCTGTCCGCAAGTTCAGAGTTGTGAAAGTATCGTAGGGATGCTGTCTAATGCGCACCACTACAAGAAAGTCGTTCGGAAGATGAGGCTTCCTCTCCGGAGTTATCTTGTGACATTTTCATAGTACTTTCTGTCATTTCTAGCTTGCAGCAATAGTGTAACGCTTTGCTGCTCTATATTGGCAGGGCTCAAAATCGGCATGGCGCTGTGGACAGGTACGCTGGAGTGAGGTACTGTCTCCAAAACACAAGTAGGACTGATCAGCTAAGAATGAGACTCTTCTTTGTTAGACAATTTTCTTGGATCACCGTTGTGGTATAGATGGTTTCGAGGCTCTACTTCAATCAACTGCTTGTTCGTCAAGCTGATGTAATCATCACGGATGAAACGGTTGCTCAAGTCATCAGTGCAGTTGTACGTTAGGACCGTGAAACTCGTCCAGTAAATAAAGCGTTATAAAAGATCACCGAGTTGCACGTTGTTTTTGGGGAAGGGTGTTTTACGGAAACTTATGCGAGAATGTACTGAACCACCAAGATGTGTTGCTCACCAGAAATTGCACCTGCATATGCATTATTCACTCAATGTAATAGAAACCTAATGATTTTGAAGCCTTCTTGTGCAACAGTCAAGTAGTCTACCATCTACTCTGTAGATTGTTTTACTTTCAAAATAGGTAAAATCCTTGTCGCCACTGGAACTGCATCTCTGTAATTGATTTGACAAGCGTATCGACTCTAGTTCATGACATAGGCTGTTTCCACACTCAACTTCCATAATAACCACATGGACTCACGAGTCACTCAGAATTCCTAATTCTCCTAACGGTTTACGCGGTTTTGCTCACATACGAGGAGAAAAGGGCTTCAGTTTATTCACTGGATAAGTTTAGAACATAGTGTACAGATTTCCACAACTCTATACATTACAGAGTTTTTATGGGCTTTCAGTAATGTGTTATAGCATCCATGATTTGCTAACGCCATTTGGAAGTTAGCAGCCTACCCCAGGAAAACATACTCCACTGAGCTTGTCCAGCCATTTCAGAGAAAGCTCCAAAGAGCTTAAGCGGGCTGCGAACGAGACAATAGAAGCATGAGGTGGTATGTACCACAGTTTAGTGAATTCACGCTGGCGGAGGGTGTTGTCCGAGCAAGCCGTAAAACTGATCACTCACACTCAGACCGAGCATTCTCAACATGCTAGTCAATTTTTTGTTCGGACTTTTCACACCTCTAGCTCGCAGCCATGGGTGCACAACGAAAACTTTGTTCATAACAAAAAGCTCCAAGGCCTCGGGATTAAACACCAGCCCTGACTTCTTGCTCATCTGCATTCAGGCAAGGCAGACACTTGTGTCAATGACAGCCTGCCTTGACCAAAGTTCTAGTATGTATTACACTACCCTACTAGTTACACGACAGGAGATAGATACATATGTGAGAAATGCAAAAAGGAAAGAGGGTTCTCAGATTTTGGAGATGGATCTGACCGAGCTATTTTCTAGAAGCAGGATATCATGTACACCAAGGAAGAATTTGTGGAGGAAAATGTGTGTACCTGGTGGGGAACGAGCATAGCTGTGTAGCGGGCGAGCTCTCCTGCACGCCAGTCAAGGACGACAGGCAACCAAGGGTATGCAGCATCCAAGCGAACGAACCACAACCTTATGTCGGGCATTTCAGATAGTTCCCGAGGATCGAAAGGGTCATCCCTCTCGTACTTCAGCACGAAACCCACAGTTCGATCGAAAAGCTCCGTCGGATCCGAGGATGGAGCAGCCATGTTATCACCTGCAAATAAAAGAGTCACCTGCAATGAGATCCACCGACGTCGGGCTCAATATTTCTACCACTAGATTGGAGCACTTATTATTTTCTGCGTCAGGTTCACGATAATTAAAATCTTTTCTTGCGCTGTAACTCTCGAAGTCAAAATTATCGTGGCCAGGGCATGCTTGGCAGTCAGTACAAAGTCGAACTGACTTACATCAAGAAATTGAGCGCTTTTGTAAACTGCAGTTCATGAGCACGCAAGAAATGACAGATTCTGGGCAGGGTTTTAAAATCGCATCGCACCTATTTGGTGTACGAATCTTCTGAGAACGGCATGAGCTGCGGATAAGTCAAGCTCTCGGATGGCTCTTTTGTCCACAACAATGTCGATTCTGCCGGTGGATGGCGGAGGAGCTGGGACCACATTCGGACTAACTGAAAACCCACATGAATCTCATGAGAAGAGAAGAAGATTTGCGCAGGACATGGAATTGAGAGTCAGTAAAAATTGAATTTAAAAATCGCATTCCCGAGCAGATTGAGCTTCACCTTCTTCTTCCTCTTCTTCTGCCAGAATAAAGTCGACGGTCTCTCGTGGTCTTCCCGACCTCAATCTGGTATCCAAAATCCTGCGGCTGCTGATGGCAACGGAATCGTTGCGCCACCGATAACTTACGAGAGAACAAAGGCCAATTCGAAAAGAATCACAAGTACTCGACGGAGCTGCTGTCACGGAATTGCCACTTGTGGATGCAACGAGTGGTCCAGCATGGGCAGCCAAGCCGCGGGAAGCGAGAATTGAAACTGGATGCGCCATAGCTGACGTAGGAGGACAAAGATTACAAGTTCGAGAATTTCACAGACCCTCAGTGATCCATCTTTTCTTTTCTGAATCTCCAAGATCTATCTTGATCTTCGTGACAGCGCGTTCTCGCCTGGGTTCTTTCGAATTTCCTCGATCAGCGAGGAGTTTCAACGTGGAATCTCAAATTCCGAAACGTATGGCCATGGAACGTCCGTAACTTTCTGCCTTGAAGGCCAAAAAACAAAATAACCTCCTGGACCGAAACCGCACCGGTGCATGAGCATTCAAATGAACGATGTTGAAGTGACGGGGAAACTTTGCGTCGGAGAGTGAAGTGGATCAAACGAGTGTGGCTGGATTTTGCACCTCAAATTCCGTCTGTGGATTGGATCCTTGCTTCGTGTGCTCGCTGGACAAGTACGAACTAGATTTAGTGACCTGACTACACCGGGCCCCAAAATGGCGGCTCTGGGTCCCTTCTCTTCTCTTCGCTATTTTGTCCGGATTGCATCTGGAAGAAGATGGGAGGGAGGGGCGTGCGTTGATTAATACAAACTCCTCTGATTCGGAGAAATATTAATTAGTATAGGTACCTTTGACCTCACATGGGAACTATTATTTCTCTTTTCTCAGCCAAATGTTGTTTTGTAGTATAGAATGATAAGAAAGAAGAGAAATTAATTTTATCCGAATCAAACTTAAACAGGATTGCACTTCCTAGAACATAATTTTGTATAGTACTATATATTAGAAATATTCAGTATTATACGAGAAATTTAGATGAAAAGCTGAATATCGATTACGACAGATTCGGGATATTGTCTCTCACGAGGCATACTTTTGGTAGCAGAATAATCAGACCTTAAACATGGATAAGTTTCGTAAATATTATATATTTACTCGCTCAAAAAAGAAAAGACATATGTTAGATAATATATTAGGAAGAGTTTTATAGGCTAGCCCTTTTCAAGGTGAGAGTATACAATTGATGTTGAATTCTATGGGAATTGCGCTGTGAGTAGAATTTTGAGAAAACCCGGCTGGTGCATCCCTTAAGCTCAGATACATGAACGCAATTTGTTTTCCTTTCCGTCAGTAGTAGTCTAACGCTTCGAATATATCATTCTTGAAGTTGTTCTAGTTTTATATATTTGATAAAGAAATGCGCATATATGCTTCAATTAAATTTTAATCTGAATTAAATTACAGAAAGGGTCATTATATTCTTTTCCATGACCAAATTCATTTTTTGCATGCGATTTAAATTTGCAGTAAAAAATATATCGCACAAGCGCTGCATTGCGTTAACCGCCACCGCAATATTACTTAAAGAGCGTAGATCCCCCTAGCGCCTCGAGACGTTAGCACAAATTGCAATTCGAGCACTCAGTACGCAAACAATTTATAGCTTATAAATGCAATCTCCACAAAAGGAGATAAAACCAATGGGCTGAAAAAATTATCCCTACATAAAATGCAAATTATGAAGAATGTATATTTATAACTGTAAAATCTCTGTAACTTTTACACGCATTGCTGAAATAGTTCCAATTATTCCCTTAGAGGAACTCTATACTACACACTGATCGGTATTTTCGGGAAGAGATCTACTACATGGAGTACTTTCAACTAGTAGAAATCAAGTAAGTATGCCGATGTCCATATTGTCCACCAACTTCAAACCTGCAGAGGAAATTGAAAGTCTCCAGGTCATCAAAGTCCTTCATTTCTGTTTGGTTGCTTTACACACTTTGACCATATATCAGATAGCAGCAGTTTTGAAGAAATCCCACAGATGTTTATAGCCAAAGATTCTGCTCGTCAGGGATGGACAACTGTTGACAGATTTCGATCGAAGATGTTCAGCAAGGTTCGCTACTTTGAGTAGTTTAGTTATCAGCGAGAAACAAGCGGCACGTGTTTCTTGCAACCAGATTCGCAGGATCGTGGTTCAATATGGTGGCAGGGGGGATTATGTACAAATGGAATTCATGCGCCACCTTCCACTTGGCAAGAAGCGGACGTCAGGTCATGCATGATCTATCTAACACAAGGGTTCAAGATTTGGACTCAACCTTCTTAGTTTAAGAGGCTCGAATCCTCTTCCAACGAGGATTGGCGCAAACACTTTCTCAGAGATTTTCAACACTTTCTCTGTTCAATACTGGGACTCAATCTGATCTTGTCCCATCACTTGATACTTGGAGCATCATCAAGACTACACAATTAGACGCTCAGGTATGACACATGCTTTTGACAAAATTTTTTTTTGGACCTCTGCGATTCCTTTTCCTCGTTCATGAATCGGGTAGTTCAGAGTAGGAAGTCATTGCTCTAGAGTTGAATGAACGAGTGGAAACATCATGGAAGCAAGTTTTGAGTCGAAAGGAGGCATCATCAAGGAGAACACTTATTCGCGGTGGAGAAGTTTTGCAGTCAAATCGAGCTCTGCTTCTATACGTTAACACCTGAGGAGCATCTGACAAGAAGGGTGTCTGGGCCAGACGTGCAGGGGAGCATCATGGCAGGGGCAGATAAGGGAGATCAGGCGATGCAACGGATATTCAACAAGGAGGGTGTGACCAAGGTCGACACTGTCACAAGAAAGACGACTCCTGAGGAGAGAAAGGGAGTTGTGAGCAAGAACTGTGAGAGTGGGCCAGGTATCCTTCCCTCACTTGTGACCATTTTCTTATCTTGTCCTGTAACGAACCCGGACAATTTTGCAGTTAGACCCCAAAGCATTCAAGTCCCTGGTCAACAGTTGTCAATATTTGATCTGACGGCGCTTTGGGCTTGGATATGAATTCTCTTCATTCGTTTTCTAATCGTAAAATTTATGGAAGGCGTTGGCGATATCAGTTCCCTCTTAACATAGATTAGATCCAATCCCGAAGACTAGCATGGGATGGTATTTTATCAGCGAACACCTGATTCGTACTCTATCTCCGCTCCCATTGTCACAAACAGCCCCCGGAGCCGCAAGGACCCTGTTCCATTCCCGATCGTTGACGGCAGCTATAGTGCACCTCTGTCTGGAAGCGAACCCACGCAAGACACAAAGAAACAGATAAATTTTATTGCTTTCGAAGCCATCGGTTAATACCAGTTTCTCTGGCTGTAAATATTGACAGGACACGCTGAGCAGACCAAACCTTTCTACCAGGGGAAAGCAATCACCAACACCTGAAGAGGCGAAAATGTAATTGATCATTTTTTTACAATGCTTTTTCGTCAGACGAGGACAGTGCTTTCTCAATAGTGGATGTTTTAGACGTGATGTTAGTACGAAAAACTGCCTTTCTATAGGCGGAAACTCGGTTTACACATGCAGATTCGAATCGTGCACTTGTAAGCTATGCTCTCGGATCGGACACCATATATCTCGGAGCAAGTTTTCCTCTGTACTCTCTGTGGAGACTGAAGTCAAAATTGTATCTGCACGTATTTGCACGTTGGCCTTATTGCTAGTTGTAAGGAAGTAAAGTCTCAATGAAGTAAAAGTCAAGTGTTTATACTTATCGCTAAACACTGTATGTCTGCCAAATCCCCTGGTAAATTAAACGTGAAAAAGAAGTAAAAGATCATGAAAATCTGTGAGAAATTGGAGCGAACAGAAACTTCATGCAACCTAATCTTTACATGATCACGCTTTCAGCACTTATGTGGGATATAGAACCTCCGGTGAGTTCCAGGTGCAGCTCCGGATCAACGATGATCCAGCACAACCTTACTCTTGACCGTGGCTACCAGTTCCCTGGGTCCGGCAAGACCTAGGCGTTCAAACTTCCCATATAATGCAATAGTTGTTGTGTAAATTGTGCATAATAAGTGACATTTGGGTTACAATTCAAGTACCAAATCGACAAGAACCTCCTGCACAAACTTTGGATTCGAAAAGTCCACTCTATCTGGGTCAAAGATTGAGGAAAATATTGCCAACTCTATCCTGTCATCCAAGTCAAGAGGATATAACTACACCCACTGACATCAAGCAGAAAATCAACATCACTCACCCTGCTCCTCCGTTGTTACATCACTTGGAAGTATGGTATCTACCGGCGGGTACTTTCATCCGTAGTTCGAGTTTAAGTTTCGAAACACGTAAACCTGTCGTAACGAGTCTCTTCTGAGTTCAAACCGTAGTTTGGTCTGGCTGAAAACGCAAGTGCTGTAAGTTCATGTTCATCATATAATCTGAAGAAGTGCACGGGCACCGCAGCTGGAAATGAGATAATGAGCATTTGAAAATGGAGATTAAAATCATTACACGGTGTGAGAGACCTAGCAGTTGAGGAACTGCTGTTGGAAACGGGAAGCGAGGTGGTTGGGCCTGACAAGCATGGCCTCGCTCTCTGTGTCAGCATCGACCAGGTGCACAACACAGAGCCTCCATTCTGCTTGCAGTCCACATATAACTCATAAGTGACTAGAGTTTAACACGGAGAGAAGATGAGCCAGACACAAGGAAAAAATGAAATATCTGACACTTGTGGGAACACTGCGCTTTTACCCCGAAGCCTCCGAGTTTTCGTTGTGCAATATCTTGCCGACAGAGCGGCCGTCTATCCACTGTGCTCCCGTGAGAATTGCAGAGATAAAGATGTCCAGCAACGCAGCATATGTATCGGCGGATGCCCTGATATTGTCCAAATACCTCACCACCTACACCCACAACGTCCTCCTCCACCTCAGTGCTGCTGATCTTTCACCATTCTTCTAGACTCGCATCACCTGCCTCAGAAATCCAGTCCCCTGTTTCCCCTAATCATCACCCTGTTGCAGGTGCTGTTCAAATTGAAGGTGAGCTTCTGACAGCATGAACTGTTGCCCGAGATCCTGGTTGTACCCCCCGCCCTCCCACCCAACACTGTAAGCCGTATCCCGAACTCTATAAGTTTCCTCAGCGGATGCTTTTTATTCCCTTGTTTGCTCCAAGGTCAACCGAGCCCAAGGAACAAAGTACATGCTTCTGGCAGTTTGTGGCATGCACGTTAAGAACGGTCGCACAGATGCAATAGTTTCGTGCAAAGGAGCAGTCTTCTGTTGACACTGTCAATTCATCGGCACATGGAACAGCTGCAGGTTTGCTCAGGTGGCCTTTACGAGTCCCCCGAGTTCCATTCGAGGTGTGGTTATCGAACGGATGTTTGGCTGTAAGCTGAATCTTAGATATGCTCCAAGTAGTTGGACCAAGTGATAAATGTTTGGGACAGTGAGGCGCTGTTAATGAGCCAGCATGCAGTGGACAGACCCCAATCGAGGTAGAAGGTGTACCGAAGCGTATCTTCTATCCGTAGGTTCGACAATCGCCAAGGAGCAGCTATCTTGAGCCACTCTTCTGCCATACGTACAAGACTTACGCCATGTGAGCCCTCGATAGTAACGATTCGAGTTTTCAAGTTTTGAACAGTGAATTCTTCTTGTGTGCAGACCAGTCTCATTGACAGATGCAGAAGATAACTGGGTTCATGAAGTGGTATGTCGACGAGCCTCGGCTGAATGCAGTGCTGAATCACACACGTGAAATTGTTTCAGCTTTCAGCTACTGTTGCTTTAGCTGTGACGAAAAGAAATTGGTGCAAAACGTCAAACTTGGTACACCAGCCTGCGGAGGTGCACACGAAACCTGACTCTTCAGAATTGGAGGCCCAAAATCTGTGACCAAATAATTCGGAACTTTTCTTAGCCTAAATCATGGCGTAGGTCAGAGGCGAAAGAGGGGTATCCTAGAAGTGGGAGATGGACAAGCAAGGAATTCACCTGAAATCTCTGGAGGGAGGTGATGATTGTACACGAAAGAAATGCTTGATAAGATTCTGTTGGTCCCTGGACGTTTTCCTTCAAGAAAGCCAGGCTACAATGTGGTTAAGTAATAAAAATTTTCTCCCAGCTTTCTAGTATTGCTTTGTCTAGGGGAAAAATCCAGTTTTTCTGTGCAACGAATGATTATAATCTATTCATCATGGAGGAAACGTTAAACTTATATGCAATGAGAAGTCTGGACCACAGATCTGAAGGAATAATAGACATGTGAACCTTCCAAAAAGATGCCGACGTTCTAGATCGAAAAGAGCTCTAGCTACACCAAAAAGACTCCAGGGCCTCAGAGATGTAGTAGTGGTTCTGAAACGTAAATGGTTGTTTAGTAAACAACAACTGTACTACCGCAGCCATCAGCGAAATTAAACCAAACTACGAATTAAACAATGAAGATGTCGAGCGGTTTATGAGTTAATAATTCTAAAACCCATACACCTGTCAACGCAGGATTTCGTGTATTGCCCAGTCAAGCCTTGGCTTGGTAAATAACGTATGACGAGGTTGCTGTAGCGTCACTTTCCATGCGTTGGAATACTTAACGTTTCCCGAGGAGTTTACATATTCCCCGAAACGAAGGAGGGAGAAAGAGTTGAGAGAGCGAGGCGATGAGAGGAACCGATTGCAGGACTGAGGGTCCGGCGGCTTATCTGCGTCTTTGCTTCTTGTACTGGACTGTTGCTCTTAGTCTCAATAGTTGAAGACAAATGCTACTCGTCGCCGTGGCAAATTCGAAGACCCAATAAATGAGTTCTCAATAAGTTACACCTGTCGTGGGAATTTGAGTGATCTGTTCAGCTCAAAGGTGATGAACAGCAGAATCCAGTCGATTCTCAAGCAAAACAAGACCAGCGGGACATGAGCCCTACGAAAAAGTCTCGTGACAACCCCGGAACACGAGGCAAGAAATATCTCGTGTTTTTTATGTACAACAACACAAATTAGATTCTGGAAAAAGTCTTCTTTGTCGTGGGACTTATAAAAGGTTGAGACTCTACCCTCGAGGAAGTAGAAGAACTTTCTTGGCAAACATATCTCTGTATTTGACAATAAGTTTTGTTAAGAAATAATTTCATTCAAGTTCAAGATCGATGTATATTTAGATTTTTATTGGAGACTATATATGTTTCAAACTTGGAGACAAAGAAGATCTACCTAATTTAATGCGAGTGGACAAAAATTAGAGAACAATGGCTAAGCAGGAGTCACGTGTTGTCAAGGACAGCGGGGAATGTAATTTCTTGTGCATGTCCTTGTGGTGACATCAAGATCACTTGAGCCAAGACCAACTTTAGGCCAAGTCAAACTATAAGAGGCTAACCATAAACGCTAGCAGCCTTAGCTGTTGTTGTGTAATAAGTTAGAACCGCACGGCAGAATATGAGTCCATCGAAACGTAGATCGCAGTCATAAGAAGAGAAAAGAAACCTGCGGAACATGTTGCTGGAATTCTTTTCGTGAGTACATGGCTTGAATTACTCATCCCAAGGCTATTTTAATTCACTTTCACAATCAGCAGAATATAACACAATGCATACAGGTGATCCTCCATGCACTTAGCGTAGCACCATCTACAAGTGAATCCAATGAAAATGCTGAGAGCAAATTAGACCTAAAACATGTCAAGTTGCAGATAAATGAAAATGCATATCGATGGAAATGCCTTTGAAACTGTGCATTCAAGGGCTATATGAACCAGAACGTGCAAGATCTGCCTTCTTGACCGGTCAGCAGCAGACTATGGTCCAAGAATTTCCACGCTGGAACTAGAACACAAAATGTATTCTCCCAGACTGACTCGCATGAGCCTAAGCTGCTTCCTGGTCCCCATAATCCACCCGGGATAATCCACCATGCTGAGAAAGATATACTATACTTAACAGCTGTATTATTCAGTGGCAACGCACGGGAAGTGCAGTTTAAAAAGCTCAGAAAAGAATTTGGGAATTAAACAAAATTGACATCGAAAAGGATCAGAAGACTCAGAAAGCACCCTCAGAGAAGCTGCTGCTGGCTAGAGTACAAACGAGCAGTGAGTAACCATTGAGATCTGTAGAGGCCCAACATGATCATGTCCAACAAGTGACATCAAGCCCGAATTTGCAGCCACCTAAGAAGCGAACAGCAGCGTTGCTAAGTTCCAGTCCCCCATCTACTCCTCTGTACAACCAACGAGCCATTCGGAAACTTTGGCAATAGTGATGTAGCCTTCTTCCCAGCGTTCGCCGGAGAACGTGAAATCTTTTGTGATTTGACTTGACCTTGAGTGCCATGCTTTCTTTTCTCAGTGCGTTCGTGAGGTGTGCTGTTTGATCAATGTGTGAGGTTGGAACATTTCAGATTTCCTGTGCATCTTGTGGGAAATTCTGACGATGATTCATTATGTACAGATGGAGTGTGCCAGTATGTTATAACTGTGTCGATGGGTTTTGTCTTCTATCTTTGTTTCGGGGTGAAAGTTGAGGAATTCTCGTAAAAATCCGACCACGACGTCGGTGATGGATAAGGTTGCATCCGAGGCCCGTGAAAGAGAGCTCACATCTCATGTCTGCTGCCGCCGCCGCCATACAACTCGTTCATCGCTGAGGCTTTAGGAAAATTATCGACTGCGGTTCGGGACATTTGCGGTCTAGAAGTCCGATCCCGCTCGCGGCGGGCAAAATTCGTGTAAACAGAGAGGGCGGACAGTTTGGTTTGGGCAACCGTTCGGATTCGGGGGCATTCGCCAGAGCGCGGCGCTGTCAGTTGCTCGGCGGTTAGAGGAAAACCAAAGGGGGGTAGAGGGAAACTGAAATTGCTGCGCTGGAGGCCAGCGCTCGGGGCCGACGACGGCCACGGCCACGGCAGCGACAGGAAGTGCAGGATACAAGAAGGAGAGGGACGGGGCGTCGTCGCGCATTGTGAGAGACGATCGAGACAGCGGAGAGAGGAGGGAGGAGGGGGCGGATCGGCGAAATCCAGGGAGAAATCCAGAGATGGCGCTGCTGAAGCGCAGCAGTCCGAGCTCGTTCTCGCCCGTGAGGTACATCAGCCTGCCGGGGCTGGTGATCTGGGTCATGGTGACGTACATCGCGGTGGATCTGGGCATGCACTTGTCGAGCTCGGAGCACGGGCGCGTGCACAAGCAGGTGATGAAGGAGCTGCAGAGCTCGCTGGCGTCGAGGTTCGCCGAGAAGGCGGCGGCGGAGGACGAGAGCAAGCTGCTGCGGCTGGACGGCGAGGAGGACGAGGCGGCGCGGTGCAACAGCGTCGAGGCGCACATGGACGTGTTCGAGGGCCAGGCGCGCAAGCCCCAGGACCCGTGGAATCAGCTGAAGTGGGGGCTGCCGCCCGCGGACTGCCGCGTCAAGGGCCACCTGATCGAGCGCCTGGACCCGCTGAACAACTACCGGCGCGGCGTGGCGCTGGGCTTCACCACCGACCTCGACGACAAGACGCAGATCGAGCACTGGTTTCTTGGCACCAAAGAGGATTTGAATCAGGCGCGGCGGCGCGTCTTCATCGACCTGGGCGCCAACTACTTCACGTCCAGCGTCATGTGGTTCATGCACCGGTACCCGTGCGATTTCACCGAGGTGCACGCCTTCGAGGCCGATCCGACGCTTTTCAAATTCCCGCCCGGCTGGGACGAGGAGCGCAACTGGGTCGAGCCCGAGCGCCACGGCTGGGCCAAGATCAAGTCGCGCGCCGGGCACGTCCCGTCGTGGCTGCTCAGCCGCATCCGCTACTACAACAAGTTCGCGGGCGTGATCGACAACGCGTCGTCCGTCAACATCACCCGCTTCATGAAGCACGAGCTCAAGCTCAAGCCCGAGGACACGGTGATCGTCAAGATGGACATCGAAGGCGCCGAGTGGCCCATTCTCCGCGAGTGGATCCAAGACCCCGACATGCCCAAGCTCGTCGACGAGCTGTTCGTCGAGCTGCACTACTGGCATCCCGACAACAACTGGGAGTCCGTCAAGCAGTGGACCCGCGAGGACGCCACCAGAATGCTGGCAGATCTCCGACTCAAAGGGTTTTACGCTCATTATTGGGATTAGCCGCCCCGTCGCCCTCTGCAGAGAGCCCGCACGCCATTCCCAGCGCCTCCAATGGCCGTGCTAACATTCCCTTCTCATCCGCCGTGTCTTCCACGATTTGATTTGTCTGGTCTTGCCCAGATGATGGTTTCCCGAGGTTCGTAGAAATCCGGTTTCCTTCGGGGATTGTTTTCGGAGAAGGGGTAGGTCAAAGGCGACAACGCTTGTGAGTAGGACGACGAAGAGAACTGAAGGACCTGCCCACCCACCGTTCACAGGACGAGAGCTCGAAGACGAAAACTTGTCGATGTGTGTAAATTCTAATGGACTCGACAAATCTTGCAGCCGGTGAGAGATCCCAGGATTCAGTTCCTGTAAGTTTGACGATAATTCGCGAGCCTGTACATTAAGTTTCGAGACCAGGTGAGAATTTGGAGCTTTGAGGTGGTTTTGGTTTCCACTTTGTCCGGTTTATCAGATCCGTAAGAAGATCTTGCTCTAGGATTGTGCAGGAACTCATTTTCCAGAAGTTTTAGTAAACTGAAGCCACACCAATTCTCTCAATTACATGACGTCATATTCTTGCCGTTGTGAATACGTTTTCTTAGAGGGGCAAAACCAAATTCGAAGATAATTACACGAGGTCTGATCACTACTACCTAGTGATCTTTCCTCGGTGATCTACTCGTGACGGCTTTTTTCACTAACTATTGGCCCACATCACATATTATGCTATCCTTACCTTCCCGATTAAATTCTTGCTATTCCGATGAGTCAAAATGCAGATAAGAAAATGAACATCGAAGAAATATGAACACCACAATATTTACCTGGAAAATACCGGAATAAATTGAGTTATTATCATGGAAAAAGTATGTAAGGTTTTCACTATCTCAAATCTGTTATTACAACTCTCTTGTTACAAGTTGAGAACAAGAAAGAAATCTCTTTGTCGTAAGTCGAAGAAACACCTCATGTTCGAGGAAACTAGAGAGACACACAAGATTATTTGAGAGTTCAAGAATGGAATGTAACACTCTCCATCCAAACCTTCTTCCATAGGCACCAAAAGTTCTTCTTGATCTTTCAACTTCCAAATATACAAGTATTTCACCATTAGGAACCACTTCCATTTCATGGCTCGAATGGCAGGCGTTATACGTCATACATAACACTCATGACACTTGGGCTAATATTTCTCACTTAAAGATTTGATTTAGAATCAGACCATACTCTCTACCTTGTTTATCATGATGACAAGGTAGAAAATCTACTTTGTCACTATCATGCTGCTTAAGTTTTTTCTAGGTTACATGAGGATCTACACCATAAAACGGACCATCTAAAAAAAAGCAAGCTTGTTTAGCCAACATTATATTTAAGCTAATGCCATCCATGTTAATGTTTTAGGGCTTTGTATCGCCTAATGCAAAGCCTACCTAATCATGACTTTTTGATGTGGAAGCTCAGTCACACTGTAACCACAAATAAATATATAAACATAAATATATATTAATATTATCCTCCATGCATTCCTACCATGTTTTAGGGCTTTGTATGGCCTGATGAAAATCATGCCTAATCATGACTGTCTGATGTGGAGACTTTATGTGATCATTTTTCTTCTAATACCACTAATATAGAGCTTTAGGGTTTTAATTTATTACCTGAACTAAATTTATTTAGATTCATTAAGAATTATTCAAATATTAACTTTTATTAGTTGAAATCATGACTAGCTCTATCATATTTTAGCAAAATATTGGATTAATCAATAATGGCTAAACTAGTTAGAATATGATCAAGATCTTAGTTAGCCATTGACAATCTGATCCTTAAATTATGTCTTCGGAACTATAAATTAATAATATATATGATCATTGTGCAAGAAAATCTAGCAGGAAACGTAATATAGATCATTTTATAAATTGGAATCAATTGAAAATAGTCCGTAGCCAAATTTTTAGTCTCATCTATTTGTCCTCATATGTATAAACTTGCAATGACATATGATGTTTCAAAACTTCTCTTCTACAAATACATGACCATGCTTAAATTTATAGTCAAGCTTGATTAACTTGTTAGAAGTGAATCCAGACACCTGATTTTTTCTGATTCGGTTAAATCTTGGTTTATTGAATAAGTTAGTCCATTATTGTATAAGAAAATTGATTGAAGCTTTTAGCCCGATTTTAGTACAAATAGGGATATTTTCTTGATATCGCTTGTTGTGTTAATTGCTTGTTTGTATTTTATTGTGTTCAATGGTTATCATAACTCAATTTTTTCATCAAACACAACCTGACTTAAAAAATAATATTTGATGTGTATGTGTTTTATTTTACATCCATATCTTGATTCACAGCTAGATGTGAAAAAATTTAACTTTGGAGTGCTTTACACTTAAACTATCACATTATCATACCTTAATCTCAGCTCTATGACAAATTTATTCATCCAAATTATTACCTTTTTGTTTCATTCCATTACATTATTAATATTTTTAGTGGACTAAAGAACATAATCTTGAGATGTAGATTTTCAACTTATGCATGAAACTTCGAGTATAAACATATAAAGTCATCTCAATTTTGTATATTATTGATACTACATCAATCAATTGCGGATTTTTTTCACTTCAAACTAGAATCAATAAGTTGTAGATCATAAGATAATCAAATGGCATTTTTCTCTATTATATTTTTCACAAGTTTTGATGATTACTATAAAGAATTTAGGGTTAATGAATGAATGTATCAGTTGTATGATACTATAATTAGTCATCTTCAAAAAAATTAAACTTAAAAAAAAGTTAGATAAATTTAGAAAGATTTTTAAATGACTTTATTTTTTCATATTTTTTTCTTGATTTTTTTATATAATTAGATTTTGTATGATTTGATGAATGAAGATTTTTTTTAAAATGATGTTTATCTATGAATATATGTAACCCAATTTAGTTAGTCAAAACTAAAATAGAGTTTACTCAAGATGTAAAAATAATTAGATTATAGTTTATTAATCAAAATCATCATGTCAAAAATCATGTGTTTGATAGGCAAAGAGTAAAAATGTTAATTAGACTTACACGTTAGAAATCTGTGTGCTTGTTAGTTAAATAATGAGAATGTTAATTGAGAGCAACATGTCAACAATCACTATGCTTGTTACCTAAAGATTGAGTATGCTAGTCAAGATTCAGATGTCAACCATTCATATGCACATCATTTATCAATTAAACATGAAATGATAAGGATGAAATTTTATCTCTCTGTACTTGTCAATAAGATTTATATAAGAGAGAAAAATCATTCAAGGTATTTTTCATCTTTGGAGTTATGCTTCATATTAGAAATCTAAGCTCCTTTTCTTTCTTGTGTTACAATATATATGGTAAATCTTCTAGATTCATGATAAGCAATCATAAAACAATTAGTTAAATCCAAAAAAGAGTAATCTTAAAGTTCACAAGACACATGTTGCCAAATTAATGTTGTGTCATGTCATATTATAAAAAATTAACGATGGCATATAAAATAGATGAAAAATTTAAGAAACATACTTTTTTTTATGTATGAATGAAATTTTAATATTAAATTTTTTTTGAAAAGAAATATCCAGAAGATTCAATGTGAAAGAATGAAAAAAATTTCATAAATTTATCATGAGAGCGTATCAAAGAATGTCAATATTTAAAAAAATTTGATCAAAATTTGAGAGTGAAATTCATCCATAAAACTCTTTTTTGATCAATTACATAAGTTCTAGAAAGCTTTTGATCAATCTATTTCAAACAACAAAAATTCTACAATGTGTATTAAGTGCAAGTTTAAATTTGAAGATAATTAAATCGGTTGGAATGAAATTTGATATCATGGACATGACATACGGACCCAACCTCTAAGTCCTAGTAGCATGGAAGTTGACTCTTTTCAACTTTAAAATTCTAATAGACTCAGAATTCTAGTAGTGGTGGACTTGACTATTTTGAACATTGAAATTCTAGTAACGATGGCGGTGCCTCTTTCCAACTTGGAAGTTCTAGTAGCGTTCGAATAATCCTAGTAGTTTTTGGTCTTGCTTGGAGTATATATATAATGTTTTGGAAAATTCTCCATTACTTTCGTAAACACCAGTTGTATTCTGCTATTGCTTTCAAGAATTCTGAATCTACTTCAATCTTATTTCCATTTTGATTTGAGATATTCTTTTAAATTTTGAAATCTAATTCGTCCTAGAGTTGCATTCACAATAGTTTGATGAAAGTGCTTTCAAATCTTGTATCTTTTGTTTTAGGTATGCATGGATTTGAATAGTTTTCCAATTTTGAAAAACTATTCAAAGACTATGCCATGTTTGAATAGTTTATTGAAATTGGAAAACTATTCAAATCCATGCATAGTCTATGGATAGACAATTACAAAGACTATAGATTGGTTGAGTTGACTATATCCATGCATAATCTTGGATCAATCTACAAATTCATTGCCTTGCAATAACAGATCACAAAAATCTTGCCAAGAACTTTATTAATCATTCTAAGTTGCAGGCAAATACTTCCATACTTTTGTTGAAGAAAAAAGATGCTTCATTTTAAATGAGAGTGAGTTATTGTGAATTGAACAATAATATAAAATCAAGTATCAATAGCCATTGCCATTGATCTCTAGACTAATCAATCGGTTGGGCCGAACAAAGACATATACAAAATTGATATTTGAAAAGCTTACAATTTAGTGCGCAAAATGTATGACGAATAGAAGATGCATTTTGAACAAGCTATAAACATTTCAAATACAACGTCATGATTTTCAATCTTAAAAATGCACCTATCATATTTTAGCTATAAATTAAAATGAGAGACTAAAAATTGACTTGAGATACACATCAAAAAAATAACCTCACTCAAAATCAATTATAAAGCTTGCAACTAACTTTGAGGGTGATCATGATGATAGCGGACGTACCAGACGTCCTAAATTACCCATTCTTGCAATTGTATGGTTTTCTTGTGCATGATCAAAAAGTTTCTATCTATCTTGCAAGCGTAGATTGCATCACGCCATCGTTCGTGCAACTTGCCAAGAATCAATCATGGAACTTGCAACTAACTCCAAGGATGATCAAGTTGGAAGTGAACATACCAAACACATTTCCTAACCCATCATTCTTACAACTCAATGCAATACTTATGCACGGTGAAAAGATCGTGATCAAAAAGTGTCTATCTATCTTGCAAGCGTAGATTGCATTCCGCCATCATTCTTGCGACTTTATAGGTTTCTTGAGCACGACTGAAAGATGATGACTAAAAGTGTTTATCTATATTGCAGTCGTAGATTGCATTGCACCAAGGATGTGAGAAATGTTTGAATCAGACGTGCAACAAAACTAGTAACTCAAGATTTAATGACTAGATTCAAGAAAATCTAGCAAATGAACTCCCGCTTGGACACGCCACTCTTTTGAGTATGTCCTTGAAAGAATTCTAATTTTCAAGAAGCAAGTAGTGTGTGAGTCAACTTTGCTTAAACTATCATCATTGTTGATTACAAATATGTA